GAGAGATATAGAGAGAGAGAGAGAGAGAGAGAGAAAGAAAAAAAAAAAACCAACCAAATGAATGTCTATAGGGTGGCGTTTGGCATAGGACACCATGTGCCCAGCACAATCTAGCAAAGAGCACATGTACATTGCTTTCTAGAAGAAACACGTCTAGCGTGACTATACACTCACATCCAACAAAGACATATTAGGGAGCCCTTGTAGCTCCCACGCTCGACGTAAGTGACATAAAGAGTAACATGTGTTCCCTATCTTTCTCACACATATGATGACCCTTCATGACACCCAACATCATATCAAGAATTTCACCATTGTAGAAATGCAAAAATCATGTAATGTGTATACAAAACTCATTTTACGAATTTAAATTGATGAACACTCTCCAAAGTCCTACTCATACATTAGTAAACCACTAATCACATGTTTTCTCATACAAGATTAATTATTTCTTACTAAATCAATTTACTTTATCCTTAGAGTTCCTATAGGAACTCACAAGCACCCTAAGATCCACAATCACATAAATTAACATTTAATTAAACACCCATAATTATTAATCATAGTAATTAGATTGTATAACAAGAACAAAAATCATTAATTTGTAGATCACAACAAATTCAACATTTATCCCTTACCACATGCATGCATCATAGTAATTAGATTGTATAAGGAGAAAAAAAAATCATTAATTTATAGATCACAACAAAATCAACATTTATCCCTTACACATACATGCACAGTCAACAAGGTTGAGAGTTAACCCCACTACCTTGCACATATTCCACACACTAGAACGAGACTATTCACTTTTCCTTACCACGATAAGCAATTACAAACAACTACACACCTCTAGAGTGATTGTCTTCTAGATCTCCTAGTAGCTCCTTAATTTCTTCAAAGTATGAAAGGTCAGGCATAAGCGTTAAAATAACAAGTGTAAGTTTATGCTCGCGCGCAATACTAATTTATAAATTTGCTCCTACCCTTATCCACTTTATAGATAAAAGATAAAATATTCTTAAATAACCTACAACCTAAGTCATATCTTTTTTCCAATACACTTAATAAAATAATTATATAAAATATATACATAATTAAATAAATTAACTATATTATTCATTAAAAAACTCTCTTAATTAATTAAAACCTTATATTAATTATTTAAAAAAAATTGGAGTGTACATCTTTAATAGAATCTCCCTCTTTATCATGATTTTTTTCTATCGCAAGACTTGGCCGAGTCATTACATAAGAAGATCGGTATCACTTGGACAAAAAGGTTGTTAATTGGTAACAAAAATTCTATTATAGTCAAAGGTTAACTTAAGATGCATATCAAAATTTTAATTAGGTCCTATTAGTTTAAAACATTTTAAAAAGATTTTTATAGTCATGTTACAATATCCAATCAACATAAATAAAAAGAATTTATTCAATTGCAAGATTTTTTTAAATTGTATGGATTTTTTAAGTTTGTTTAACTATAAAAACCTAATTGAAAATTTGACAAAAATATAAAAACTTACATATTAATTTAACCTTTGGATATAATTTATTTTATCCGATTATTTGATTCATTATTATGAGTTTACCAAACAATGATAAGATTATTAATAAAGTGTAATATGGTTGGCAAATAATTTTTTTTCTTAAATATGTCATCATGATCTCTAGTCTATGTATATTGGAAGATTTTAGCTTCTTATTAAAAAATTCTAATTCATCTGCATTACAAACAACAATAATTAATAATTATTATAATATATTATGATTTTAAGAAAGTGAAATAGAACTTAATTTAACTTTACAAAATTAACTTGTAAGATGATGGTTGTTCTCCACTTATATATACTAATATGATCTTATCTCTAATCTATATGAGATTTTTAATAACAAAAAAAATATTTATTTATCAAAATAATAATAATAAATAAAATTACAATTTATTATGTTGTTGTCATATTATGTTATAATTAAATATACTTTTATATATTATTCTACCTTATCTTATTATATTTTCATCACCAAATGAGACCCATAAGTGCCCATGATATTATGAGTAAACTTATAATGTTGTTGTTTGAACCCCGTAAAAGAAACCACACATGTAGATTGAATAACATATAAATATATCCATGACATATAATGTCATCACACTAATTAATAAAGAGAAACTTGAAGTTTTGGTGCCTTCATCTAATCAACAGATATTTTTTTGGACATATCTACTGATAAAAATAAAGGGAGTAATCTTATATCTTTTTAAAAAAAAAAAACGTATTAAATAAAAAAAATAACTATATCTAATGTCTTGAAAACATAAAAATAAAAAAAAATAAATAAATAAAAATCGATACTTATTACTTACTATACAAAGCAAGAGGATTAATAGAGAAATATTTTAGGACAATTTAGAATTATTCGAGTAATAATTTCAATATATAATAATTAAAATTTATTACACCATATAATTTATAAAAAAAAAAATTCTTTTGATAGCCTATAATTTATAAATGTTCAACAACATTACATGATTTCTTTTATTTTCTAATAATCACCACTTTTCCCAGGTAATATCATAACAGGGCATAGTGATAACAAAATCTTATGAAAAGAAAATAAACATGAAAAATATGATAATGTTACGTGGGAGCTATGCAACGGTGGTGACAACATAATCTTATGTTGATGTCAATTTATGGACACTTTAGGAGAGGTTGGCAGTTAAACCGCCATTTCAATTTCACAGAGAATATAACGCCTATCCATTCTTTTTCATAGCTATGACCATTTCCTCCCACTCTCTCTCTCTCCATCATTCTATTCTTTGAAGCAATCAATTTAATAAAAATCACATTGATTTTCATATAGTTTTTGATTTGCCCATTTTTCTATATATAAATTTTGGTATTTTCCTAATTGTGGTTATATTATTGCTATCTTCTACCTCTTGTTCCACAATTTCCTCCCAAGATATCCTAGTGTTTTTGATGATGGGTGGTGGTCCAATCAAGAACCACCTCATTTTCAATACCCTCATGTCATTTCCTGCCTAAACCAATAACCTTCCCCTTTTCTCCCAATCATTTTTCTCTCTTCTTGAAAGCAAATCTGTTATATTCACTTTTCAATGCTTCTGAAATATTGGTGTTAGCTTTTGATAACCGGAGGAGTTATCAGGATTCATGCCATTTCTGACTTTCAGGTTTGTCCTGTGCATTCCCTGAATTCCCTTTTCTGATGTCACGTCAATCTTCACTATATGTACCATAATGGGTTGTTCATGTGCAATTGTGATCTGTATTAATAATGATGATTTGGTTTCTAATCATTAAAAAATTAAAAATATCATTTTTCCTGCATTCTGACTTTGACCATGTCCTATGGTCTGCATCACATTCCATTACGTGGATACCATGAATTTAGTTCTTGGTTCTTTATGCTCTTGACGTTCATATCATTGCATCGTGCATGTTGTTCAACAATAATGTCCCCCATTTCCCTATTAACTTGTACATATTCTCTCACAAACAATTTGTGGTTACATGATTTCCCATTATTGAGTACTTTTAGTTTCTTATGTTATGGAAAGACCTACTACAACTTCATATATCGAATGTAATTTTGTTTGAATCTTTACATCATGTGGATTTGTCTCTAGTACAATATACATCTCCATATAACTAATTTTCATTTGTGTGTGTTTTGTCCCTCTCTCTCTCTTTTGCAGGAATTCCTCTTGAGGAGTGTTATTGTGTTGCCAATGATGACATCAAAGCCTGACAAGAAGATGCCTGATTTAACTGAGGTAAGAGTTTCTTCATGGCTGTTCATTTCTACAAATCCCCATAATTACCAACCAAAAGCAACCACAATGCATCCAAGGCTCAGTGTTTGGCCTCAAGATGTTTTGGGTTTCTGTGACAAGATGATCGCAATTGTGGTTACATCGGCCATATTTGTCTGGAATTTCTCGCAATATCAACAAATACAGCAAGGTCCCCATAATTTTTAACCACCGTACATCAAAGGTTTCGTAAAACAGTTCATGATTTTGGCCACAATATTAAGAATTTTTAGGTGTCTGTGAAGACACCACAACCGCAATTGTGGTTACATCAGCCACATTTATCTGTAATTTCCCACATTATCAAAGAACACAACTAAATCCAGATCACAACTACAATTTAAAACCTTGAATGCATCCATGATTTCTGGAGAACATAAAAACATGACAAAACTATTCATGACTGAGAATTCACCAAATATTATGTTACATCCATGACCACAGATGAACCACAATTCCTCAGATGAGTCACACCCCACTAGTGCTTACAGCAGCTGTCCAACTTCAGGCAACAACTCACCAACTCATCCCACCAAAAACATGGACCAAGCAGCACCAAAAGAAGGCTTAGGAAGTGAAACTGGACACCTGGACCCGCAGGTTTCCAAGCCTGATGCAAAGTTGGAAGGCAAATCAAGACCCCAGAAGCTAATGCCACCAAACAGGAACATATCTGACTCCAACACTCTGCACCAAAGTCCAAGCACAATGAAGTCAAACTCCAATTTTGACCACCATGCAAAGGGATTGCCTACTCCTACCCGCAGTGCTCCAGGGAGTGGCACAAGCTCTCGCTGTGACAGCTTAGAGAGCACAAGTGCACCAATTAGACCACACACTGGGGGTGATGTGAGGTGGGAAGGCATCAACATGGTTTCAAGGGGTGGCCCTATGAATCTGAGCCACTTCAGGCTCCTAAAACGCATTGGTTATGGAGACATTGGAAGTGTGTACCTTGTGGAACTGAAAGGGACTAGGACCTACTTTGCAATGAAGGTGATGGACAAGGCTGCTCTCATAAGCAGGAATAAGCTGCTGAGGGCACAGACAGAAAGGGAGATTCTTGGACTCCTTGATCACCCCTTCCTCCCCACTTTGTATTCTTACTTTGAAACTGATAAGTTTTACTGTTTGGTCATGGAGTTTTGTAGTGGGGGGGATCTTCATTCTCTTAGACAGAAGCAACCTAACAAGTGTTTCACTGAAGAAGCTGCAAGGTTAGTGCAACCTCATCTAGATTCTATATTTAATTTTCAGATATTATGGGAGTAATATTTTTTACACTCAGCAACCAACAAAAATAACAATTTATTATCAGAAGATGGTGTTTTATATTGTTAATATATTTTAATTAAATTTAAATTCTAATAATAAAAGTTCTATCACTAAAAATGTCACAGAACATTTTTTCTTCAAGTTTTATTTTTAAATTCTTTTAATTTATTATTTTATTTACTTTTCATTTATATATATTTTTTCTGGCCTTTTATATTTTTACTTTTTAAATATTTTATATTTTACAGGATTTTTTAATTTTCAAGCAAAATAGAAATAAGAAATAAGAAATACAAAAAAAATTAAGTGAAAAATATTATTAAATATATATCTTAAATAGAGAAAAATAAAAATATGCATTAATATAATACCCATTGAATACTATATTTTGTCTTAGTTGTAAATATATCCTTATACTTACTAATAGAATTTTTTTTTAATAATATTGTTTTAAATTAATTTTACATGTTTAAATAATAATAGTGTGTAAATTTTGTTTATTGTGGATAATATTAGTATAAAGTCAGTTCAAAGACTTACAAGTTTCAATTAAAAATATTTAAATATTTATTTAGTGGAATTTAGTTTTTTATGTTTTATTAGTTATACATTTAAATTTCTACACTAATCATATTAACAAAGAAAGATATTTTTTTATAAATACATAGGATTTTAAATAGAGACATTGCTTAGTATAATATGAGCTATATTTTCAATTTATTTCCAATAGAAATGTATTATTTCATTGAGTAAAATAATTAAATCTTTATGAAACAATTAAAAAAGTAGTAAAACATTATATGTTTGTCCTCACATTTTCATAACTGAATTTAAATTTACAATCCGGGTGTAACTTAATTTATACAAAGGCAAATGTTCAAGTATTCTACCAGTGTTCTAGAGAGACTTGTTCAAAACTATTAAATGCACCCAATTAATTATTTTAATTACTTAAAAAAATTGTTATAATTTTGTGTTTTGATATAGTAGACACTATCTATTTCATTAAGGACAAAATTAAGGTAGTATTTCTTACAATTGTTGGTGTTGTTTTCTAATCAGAATTGAAGTTTTATCTTAGTATTATGCAAGTAGATTTAATGTAGGTCTCATTAATATACATTTATCATACTATTGAGACAAAACTCCAACTCTGATTAGAGAACAGCATCAATCACACTTAAGAAACTGTACCTAAGTTTTGTCATTTTGTTAAATACTTCTTACTTTTGTTTCTTGACCATGAACTCTCATTGGTATTTGCATGTTTAAACCATTTGATATCACTGCCGATTTCAGTGTGCAGATCAATTTAAGAACTCATATGCTCAATCATCTTGTAATAGGTTTTATGCAACAGAGGTTTTGTTAGCTCTGGAGTATCTGCACATGCTTGGCATTGTATACAGAGACTTAAAGCCAGAGAATCTTTTAGTCAGAGATGAAGGGCACATCATGCTCTCAGATTTTGATTTGTCCCTCCGCTGCTCCGTCTGTCCTACACTAGTCAAGTCTTCATCTGCCCACGCGAGCAACAATGGTGGTAGTGGTGGCAATGATTCTGGAGGTATACTAAACGATGACCAAGCAACGCAGAGCACTGCTCAAGCATCAAGTTTTTTCCCGCGGATTTTGCCTTCAAAGAAGAACCGCAAGGCAAAGTCAGATTTCGGCCTACTGGTCGGCGGGGCACGGCTGCCTGAACTGATGGCAGAGCCTACCAATGTGCGTTCAATGTCATTTGTGGGGACACATGAGTATCTTGCTCCTGAGATCATCAAAGGAGAGGGTCATGGTAGTGCAGTAGACTGGTGGACTTTTGGGATCTTCTTGTATGAACTGTTGCATGGAACAACCCCTTTTAAGGGTGCAGGGTATAAAGCCACACTCTTCAATGTTGTTGGACAGCCACTTAGGTTCCCAGAAACTCCCCAAGTCAGTGCTGTGGCTCGTGACCTTATTAGAGGGTTGTTGGTAAAAGAGCCTCAGAAGAGAATTGCATACAAAAGAGGTGCTACAGAGATAAAACAACACCCATTTTTTGAGGGAGTGAACTGGGCTCTAGTTAGAAGTGCCACCCCTCCCCACATACCAGATGCTATAGACTTCTCCAAGTATGCTAGCAAAGACACACCACCACCAGTGGACAAGAAGATGGCAGACATTGCCAATGATAAAAACAGCAAAAATGCTAATTCTGATTCTTACATGGATTTTGAGTATTTTTAGTAGTAAAAGTCATATATTCGGATAAGAATATACCTTTTTGACAAGAATATATTGTACAAAGTGTCACCTCCACCTCCTCTTTCTCTCAAGAAAACTGAAGATATCTCTGAGAAATATACATTGTAAACATACTTGTAAATTCTTTTTTCCCTATGTTTTTTTTTTGGCGATGTCTTTAATATTGTTGTAAGGGCATCCAAAGTAGCACTGTTGTTTGAAAAATTCAGTGTTTAGAATATGTTTTTTGACAATGAAAAGATGTTTGTGGTACATGACATGAGTTCTTAAAATGTTGGGTTCTAATGGCTGAAGTATAAAATTCAATCAGTGATGCATTAGAATTTTATTGATCTTGGAGGTAATATACTCTAAAAGGTTTAAATGAGAAGCAATAGAATTCCCCTCCATTATAAAAGAAAAATTAAATAGAAGGAACTGGAGAACATTTATTGGGCACATTCATCAACTTTACAGCTTTGACTGTGAAGATAATCTTGTTTGCAGCTCCTCGGCTACAGCATCTATGAACTCTTCAGTATTCAAATACTGGGATCTAGAAACCCTATACGTAAAAAAGAGCAAGCAGTTTTAGTTTTTGATGCATTAAAAGCAAAAGCAATAGCTAGTAGCATTCTGAAAGAAGAATCTCAGTGCCAGAAATTACTTAGGTCCATGAACAAGGAGCGCAAGATCCTTTGTCATCTTTCCCAATTCAACTGTTCTGATGCAAGCTGCTTCCAGTTTCTCTGTGAAGTCCAACAATCTAGCATTTCCATCCAACTTTGCCCTGTAACAATTAGGATGCGTTTGGAAAACCTTACTTTTATGATATAGCTTTTCAATTATTTGGATAAGCTTTTAAAACCTTATATGGTGCCTTTCTTTTCAGATCTTTTCTTAAACTTATGTAAAAACTGAAAAACATCACAACAACTTCTTTTAGGTTTTTGTTGGATCTCTTTTTAAAAAATTTATATAACTGTAGAACTTCTAAACCTGTTTTTAATTATAAAGAAGTTTTTTTAATAAAAGCACAAACAAGAGCTCTTTTTCGAAAGCTCCATTTTTAACCAAGAGAGAGTCACTTTGCCTTTGATTCAAAAACCTTATCTAATTATTGTAAATTTTTTAGACATATTTTAATTAGAATAACACTTCTTAAAAAGCACAAACAACTGCCCTTACTTGGCCTTTTTCAGTATCATGAACTAAAATGGAAAAAGATCAATTTCTACAGATTCTAGCATGAAGAAAAATTAATCAGATGACTTTCAATTGCAATATTTACCTATGTGCAAGACCTCGCGACCAGGCAAAAATTGAAGCAATACTGTTTGTGCTGGTTTCACCTCCCTTCTGATGAACCCGATAATGACGGGTAACAGTGCCATGGGCTGCCTCTGCTTCAATGGTTTTCCCATCTGGGCAAACCTGTCACCAAATTTAGCTTCTTGAACATCCATGCTAGAGACGTGACCAAAGGATGAACAAAAAAAACAAATAAAGGGTATGCATGAAGAGAAAAGACAAACACTACAAAAGGCTAGAAAAGCAATACCAGTACTGATGTCATCAAACCGAGAGAACCAAATCCTGTTCAATGGAAACTATTATTATGAATTTCTAGAAACTTTGGCACATCCATGTGCTTAACCAAAGCAACAGAACAATCAATAACTAAAAGCATTGTCATAAGCATATGGATATCCACCTTGAGCTAAGAAGTCACTCTGCACATCGCCATCATAATTTTTGCAGGCCCACACATAACCTCCATCACTTTTAAGAGCATAAGCAACCATATCATCTATAAGACGGTGTTCATACCTAAGAATAAAAAATAGGAATTAGCAATTTTTGCTGTGATAAAGGTTTCAATTAGCATGACAAGCAATTCAACTGACCATATCCCTGCAGCTTTGAACTTTTGACTCCATTGAGTTTCAAAAACCTCTTGGAAAATGTCCTTGAATCTTCACAAAAGCAAAGAGTTAAAAATGTGCTTGAGTTATTTCACTCAGAATTGAAGAGATATTAAATACAAAGAAAGATGAACAACAAATATACCAGCATACCTTCCATCATATTTCTTTAAAATGGTATTTTTAGTGCTAAGATAGAGAGGCCATTCTTTCTGGTATGCAACGTTCATTGAAGCCTCAGCAAAAGCTCGAATGGACTGTTTCCAGACCGAATACAACATAGTTTTATTATTGCCAAAGCAGTTAGAAATTCTTTCTGAGAAGAATAATAAAAGAAAACATCATGAAGATGCAAACCTCATCAGTATTATACATGGACAAAGCTACACCTCCAGCACCAGTAAAGTTATAGACCTCTAGCTCTTTAGTTTCTTCATTTCCACTGGGAGCTGTATACACACAACTGAACATCATAAGATGCTTAAATTATAGATTTCCCTAACTCCGGTCTATTGAAAGCAATCAAAATATCAGTTTTCATTGAGCAACTTTGCAACAGAGATTGTATTTTTAAACTACTTGAGTCATGAGAAAATATTAACAGGAGAGTGAATTTACCAAACACCAATTTTAGCTTTCCTGGGCCTTTTATAACTGTATCTGTTGCCCGATATTGGTCTCCAAAAGCATGTCTTCCAATGCATATTGGCTTTGTCCAGCCTAAACAATAGACAGTGACAGATAGTAATCAACACTTGCTATTATAAAGTAAAATTCAAATGTCAAATAAGTTATAGCATTTCATGAACCTGGAAACAAGGTGATATAATGGATTAAATGCTAAATGAGCAATATGTATTTGGTATAAAAGGTCATAGCATCAATGGCATCTTTTTCAGCTAAACAAGACGAGGAATGTTTTTACAGATAATTGGCTCCCTAAAAACTGTACCTGTAGAACATAAAGAATGAATTTTCCCCTGGATGTCAGCTAAAATTCAGAACACAAAGCAGGGATAAAAAAAACCATTAGAAAGTTTAGTTACCATTTAAAATGTTCCGGATTGTCCCATTTGGACTTTTCCACATTTGTCTTAGGTTAAACTCCTTGACACGAGCTTCATCTATGAAAAAGAAAACCATTGCATGTGAATTTTATTTATAATGCATGGGCATCAAGTTAGTGCACAACCTTAAGTTAATATGGCATGGAAAAGCATGCAACATTCTAAATTAGAACAATTATGAATACCTGGAGTTATAGTAGCACATTTGATAGCTACATTATACCTGCAATGAGAAAAAGAAAAAAGAAATTCCATGGAATCATCAGGAGGCCTCACTCTGTAAGAAAAGTTTCTCTAAGAATTAATGAACAACAAAAAGGAAAGCTACTCTGTTCCACAGAATTAAAAGGTCAACATAAATTAGTTTGGAGTATTTAAGCATAAACTCAGAAGATAGCATAAACCTCTTGCCAGACTATATAGCATTCTTTTCTTCCTTCTAACCTAGCTTCTTCTGATAATTCAATATTCTATAGTATAGTATTTACAGTACTCAGCATATCAGTTGTTTAGTCTTTATCTCCATTTAAATCATATTTTTTCTCATAAAGTGTAAAGGAAGTTAGGCTACACGACTACCACTGGGATGGAACACTGCAAACTTTTACACCACACATATATCTGGAGAAACCCTCACAGCACCAATTTTCAGGATTGTACAACAGGGCACCTCCACAATGGATTTATCCTGGGAACATAACTATCATAATGTCAAAGGGATGGCAGTCAGACTAATTTCAAGTGAGGTGAATGGTTCATCCACTGTTGAACCAACCGCTTCGTGACATTGAAAACTGAGTTCAGTTATCCTCTACTAAGAACAGAAGCATGAGTGAAAAAACAACATTTCAACTACTTGAGCAACTATACACAGTTCAGACTTCAGAATTTGATCACAATTTTGGCCAATTAAAGATTCTCTAAATTATCTAGATTAATGAAATATCTTAACCAAACCCAAATGAATGAAATATCTTAATCCTATTTTTGGGAGGGTAAATAAAAAAGGATAGGGATGTATTTTCCTTTTAACAGTATTGTAATTTTTATCTAACAATAATCATGGAAGCAACAACTAATATTGAAGAAACCGATAGAAACAACAAAATGATACATAATCTCAAGAGTGAAGATGTGCAAAGATTAGAGCACATACTTGAGTGTAGCTTCAGCACTTTCAATGGTAACTCTATCATTAGTGGCATCCCGATGAGGAAGGCCAAGGTCAAAATACTTAATATCCAGCTCCAAATAAGGGGAAATAAGCTGCAAAAAGTAAAAAAACAAAAGGGGTAAAATACAAAAAATTACATCATAAGCTTACCTGTTTCATAAATAAAAAAACTCCAGAAGATAAAACTACCTTATCTTTAATCAGCTTCCATATCACTCGCGTCATTTCATCCCCTACATATACAGACAATGAAAGATTGGCAATTCAGATCAATAAACCAAAAGGCAACGAAGTTCTAAAAACTATGGAAAAATCATATGATTCATAAGACAACTTCTCACTAATAATGATCAAGTCACATAAAGAAAAAAAATTCATCAAATTTAAGAAACAATGACACTCCATTTGAGGTCAGGTCCCAAAAAGCATAACACAACTTGAAAAGGGGTGATTGTAATTGAGACCCCAGATGAGTCAAAGCACACAAATTTTGCATCTCTGATTGAGAACTAAGCACTCACACACTATTAGTATTCATCATAACCCACAGGTAGAAAGATCATACACATAAACAAGAGAAGAGTGAGAGATGAATAGAGTGATGCATAACATACCATCCATTTCGACGATGGGGTTGTCAACCCTTATCTTCTGAAACCCCATTTTGTTGTTAGTTTCGTTGCGGTGAAACTGAAAGTGGGAATTCAGAGAGGAACAAACAACAATTTCAACACACACAAACTGAAAGAGAGAAAAATGGGTTGTGTTAGTGTTTTTTTGGCTTAAAGAAAATGTGTGGAATCAACCGACACGGGATTATTGATTCCCAATGAACACACACTCTGAGTTTAATGTGCGTTGGAATAGCCGTTCAATCACGTTGAATGAAGGATTCACGTTAGAGAAACAGCAAAAACAAACACACCCTTAGTTATTATCTTGGCATGCACCAACAACCTATAATGC